AGGGACGCATGCAGTATACCCAGTCAAACATAGCAAGAGATACAGATAGGAGTTATAACTGGGTTTATAGAAGGAAGGAGAAAGCTTTACCTCTCAGTTCCCTGCCTCCAGAACTCCTCCCGAGTTCCGGCAGAGCTCCCGCAATCGGTGGGCTGACTCCCCACAGAGTCTTGCTGCGGTCCTACGGGTTGCGATCCCGCCCGCCGCCTTCCTCTTAGAACCAAGATTAGACTTAGAGTAAGAAGGGCAGAAGTAGGGGTTTCAAACTCTCGAGATACGGGAGGGGGACAAACTCAACTCCCAGGAGAGGGCCTTGTTGCCTTGATACGCCTGAGGGCCCCGCAATGGTGGCCAACACGCGCAGCCGTTAGTCAAGCCGAAGTCAAATTGTTTGACGAACGACACCCTAACAGAGTTTCAAATCGTAGCGATATTCCCCTTCGCAAGCCTGATCATGCCACCAAGTCCCACTACCTCGATCTCAGATAGCACCGTCGCCTGGCAATAGTCCACACTTCCCTTACACCTCGTCAGATTGTTGGCGACGCGTAGCAACATCTAGCAAACACAGCCCCCCTAGTCAACAGCAGTCAACCTGCCTTTCCTCAGACGACCCTCTAAGTGGCAATGGTATTCTTCCTTCGTAGCCCGGCTACCTCCTCAAGCGTAATGCCTTCGCTAGCTTGTAACAGATGGACTACTGCACCCAAACTCTCTACTGCCGGACACAGCAGCCATACCGGGATAAAGGACCCATTGTCCCGGTTTGTCGTAGCTAGCAACAACAGGCAGCACCACCCACGGAGCCAGAGACGAACTCTCAATCTGTCAACCCTTGCTAGCCAGTTCACTCCCACAACTGAGAACGACCATGCACCACTACCTTTGATACTATGTGCAAAATCGGAAGAATTCTCTAGGTTGAAGATAAAAAAAGCTCACCGTCGGTTCAGAGCTGCTCGATTCCGCTGTTCTTGCGCCCAAATGTGCCTTCTACTAGTCTAGCCAGGTGCCAACGGGTCACAGCGAACCAAGGCTGTAGGGACGAACCTACAAGCCAAGCAAGAGCGGACCAAGACTGTAGGGACGAAGCCACGAGCCAGGCAAGAGCGTACCAAGACTGTTAGCAACGAAGCCACGAGCCAGGCAAGAGCGGACCAAGACGGTAGGGACGAAGCCGCGAGCCAGGCAAGACGAAGCCGCGAGCCAGGCAAGAGCGGACCAAGACTATAGGCGGACAGGCAATGGTGACGGTACGGATGCGACGATCTTCACTACTATCCTGATCGGGATAGACACGACAGTGTGGCCTAGCCATGAGCAAACGGCACTGGAGCCTGTTACTGATCACAAATAACAGCGCTGGCCCTGCCACACTATCCGAAGAAAAAAAACAGAAATGAATGGTCCTGCCCCTAGAACACGACCAGATACACCCTCACATTTAGGGCCCCCTCCCGGGCGCAACCCTCACGCATTGCTCAGTCGAATCCACCACTCCGATCCCAATTCCGCCTCCACCAGCATACTCGCCCTATCCTAAAACCCCAAACTTGACTCCTCGTTTAATCGTTTTGGTCGAGAACTAAGTTAACCATGCCACTTCCCCGTTTCGATCCTCCATAGCTCCATGCACTATCCTTCTATTTTTGCTCTTTTCCCACTAACTATCACTTCATTCTAACTGTAGATTCGGGTTCGACCGCCCTTAAAACCCCCGGGACGGATCTCGATTCGCCCGATTCCATCAAGTATCGGGCGAGCCACACAGTTTTCAATTCTACCATATCCATCATCGTCGACACTTCGCGCATCCGTTTTCCTTCCTACCTCCAAATCTACCAGCCTAGCTCTAAAACTAACCACACCATGTGACTTGAACTACAAACACCATTAGGAATGACCCTCCATTCGCCCGTTTCTGTTAGGAAACGGGCGCACGCTCATCTCTCCTCCCACTTTCGCCATATTCGCTTTCGTTGTCTTCGCCACGACCGATTCTCTCTGCTGTGCACGCACCTGGCCCTCTTTCCGTTCGGTTCCCTTTCCTCCCTCCGTTGCCTTTACTCTACGTTTTTTCCGCCAGCCCATCTGCGAATGGACCCGGCACAAATCGCGTCCGGGTGCATTCTCCCTTTAACTGCGCACGTACCCTATCTTAGCGCCCCGACGCTCCTCTGCCGTGCCTCGCCCTTAGCTTCGCTCGCTCGCTGCTCCTCCGCAGCGCTCCCCTGCTTCTCCATAACTTCTTTTCCCCGTTGATACGACAACGCCTAACACCTCATCGTCGGTCTGCCAACGCCTTAGCACAACGGCTCTTCCCGACTGTTCCGGCCTGAGGAAAAAAACTCCCGGACGAACCAGCTACAACATGGTTCGATTAGTCTTTCGCCCCTGTACCCAAGTTCAACAAACGATTTACATGGGGCGGCTTCGTCTCATCCACCACCTCCCTTTCTGTTCAGGCGGGGTTCGCTACCGCCTCGGGTCTCCAACAGCCAGCTCTTACACAGACAGCCGGTTGCGGCGCGGCCTGCTGCAAAGCTTAGAGTGGGCCTTCGGTGACTGGGCCCGATGCAGCTATCGGCGGTAGTAGCAAATACTCAAATGAGAACTTTGAAGACCGGAGTGGAGACGGGTTCCGCGGGGACAGCTAGTGCAGCCAGCAACGCTGCGGGCATCCCGATAATTCCCCGAACTGCCCGTACCCAGACACAGTTCCGTCTGTTGGGTCCCAGTTGGGCATGTTCACACTCAAACCTCTCACAGCAGATCGCGGTTGGCGGACAGTGCACCCGCGGCAATCCCCTCGGCTCAGGTTGCTTTCGCTTTGCGGGTTAACCTCCCACCAGCTTTGCATACACGTTGAACTCCTCGGTCCACGTTTTCAAAGCAGTCAAAACAGAAAGAGAAAAGAAAATTTCGCCAGCGTCCCGAACATGCAGGGGACCCGTAGGTCAGCCAAAGGAGGCGCGCGCTCAAGGTCTTCGTCTGCCGTGACGGCCTCCAAATCCAGCATTGCATCCAAGTCAAGGAATGCCCAAGCAAAATAATAACTAAATAAAGACGGCAATAAAAATATAAAAATACCCAGGACTGGACCCTGCCGACGGCAAAACCAAAGGGGATAGCCCCGCCGGGCCTTCAACCCCTAGACTCCTCGACGCTTTGATACTCCCGCGATGTCGCCACTCGTTCTCGATCCCCAAATCTCTCCGATAAGGGCCAGACACCGTAACCAACAGCGATAGGCCCAAGGCTGGGTCTAGTTTTGACGGTCCTAAATAAATTGATACTGTGCGACGTGCAGACCTACCGAAACGCTCTCAAAGTTACGTTGTTTGTCGATGCCGTCCTCTGCACGTGCGCACAAGTCATGGACAAACGCACCAATCAAGAGACAAAATCTTTTCAAACCTAGCTTAATCAAAAGTAAAAATTTGGCCGGCGATCACGCCGACTCTTCAATCATCAACATATAAAAATCACGCGTGCCTCAAGCCTGCACGCCCACACACACTCTACTCTAGTCAACCATCCAGTCAACGTAAACCTCAGACACCGCCTCACCTCGCGCGGTTATACTTAAACCTTACACCAAACTTATTTTCTGTCACTTGCAAAAACCAGGGCGGATACCCTTGTAAGGGTATTCGCACCGACAACGGCCTACTGTGCGGCACACGCTCGGGCTGTTTCTTTATAATAAAAAAAAAGGGTACCCACCTGGAAATTTCTGAAAACCATTCGGCCTAGAGGCCTAGCTCAGTTGGTAAGGCACGCAAGTGGCATTCGGGAGGTCTTGGGTTCAATCCCCATTGGCCTCATGTATGTTCCCGGGCAAGCTTGGCGCCCACCACCTAGAGATAGGCCGTTGGTTCCCCCGGAGTGGCATTGAGCAGAGACTGCTGATGTTCATAGGGGGAGGGACCGAAGGGGAGGCACAGCGACTGGCCCATCGAAGAAGCTCGGTCCTGATGCTACCGGCTGACCCCTTGCTGGTATCGCCCAACTGCTGTAGCAGGTATAGCACCTGCTGTTGGGTGCAGCTCTCACATGTTCCCTTGTTGGAGGCTTGAGCACGGATGTGGCTGCTATGGGATTCCCCACAATACTATAAGGACAATAAAAAAGGCCTGGAAGGCCGTCCTGTCCAGATTCAACAGGTAATTGAATTGGTTGGGCTTAAAATAATTAGCCAATTTAGTCTTAAAAAAAGAAAAAAAGAAAAAAAAAAAGGTTTCTGAATGGCCTACTGTACGGTATCTACCTGGAAGTTTCTGTACTGCCTACTGGATGGATCTATGGTACAGGGGGAAATTGGGACTTGGTACCGGAACCGTACTGTGAAATGCGTGAACCCTTTCAATACCGTGTGAATTTATGCTACTGTATCCAACAGGACTCAAACTCTCAGCTTCGTCGTCTACTTGTGTCATTCGATGGATAGCAAGTGCTGCATTCAGCGTTGCCCCGCAACGATTACGTATTACAATCCACATACGGAGACTGTGTTCCTCTTTTTTTTTTTTTTTTTTTTGAAGAAAAGAAAGCTTGATATGGTTTGCAAAACAGTGCAGGAAATAGCACTCTTGTCTGTTTCATTTCATTTCCTTTTCTTTGTGTTGTTTTTGGGAAAATTTCCCCCCCTTCCTTTTTGCCAGGCGTATTTCAAAACAAAATCCAACAATAGTGAGAACTAGGCTTGTGATGTCACATTCACACCACTCGATAAGAGCCCCCTTCCTTTTTGCCAGGCCTATTTCAAAACAAAATCCAATGATAGTGAGAACGAGGCTTGTGATGTCACATTCACACCGCTCGATAAGAGCATTAAAGCTTGGAAATGCATCTGACGCTTCTCCCCACACCAGAAAGTCAAAAGATGCAGCTTTTCAAGTGTAAACTATAACTCGGATGCTTCTCCCCACACGCATGTTATAAGCCGTTGTAATGGATAATGTAATGTTACTGCCAATATGCTTATGATCCATGAACAGGAGGGAAAGGTTGGATTGACTCCCTCGGTGTTTGATATTCGGGAGTGCTTGGACGAAATGTTGGAGATGTTTGCCGAGGAGATGCGGGACAGAGGTCTTGTTGAAGTAGGCGTGTTTGTTCACGAAGCGATTCCACAACTCCTGGTTGGGGATGTAGACCGACTTCGACAGGTGTGCTGCGACAATGACAAACCCTTTTCACATTGCAATTCGAGTGTTCTCGTTTTCTATCAGGGGAAATTGCTTGGTGCCACACTCTTTGCTGTGGCCATTCTGCAAATCCTATTCTAACCTAAAAGCCTACAACGACTCTACGGTCACGTTCGGGGAACAACCTGAAAAAAAAAAGAACGGCAACTGCTCGGGGAGGGCTGTTGGTCACAGGATCAGACTTCAAATCCTGCTGCCCCAACAGCCCTCCCCCTCAGTGTGAAGGACTCTGACAATGTCACAGACTCCTATTGGATAACAATTCCACTGGAATCTTTTTTTTTTTTTTTAAATACCACAAGGCCCTTTTTCTCTACTCTGGGGGGACAACAGTCCGGTTGCTTATCACCGGCAAACATGTTTGTACATCCAAAGAAGGGGGGAGATCAGATCGGAAAAGGGAAACAGCCTAGTTTTTGTGGCATTGATCGTTATCTACCAAGGGGGTACCTGCAAAACGGGGCCCACCCCCCAAACCATGGTCTTTCTCTGGGAGCCACCCTGCTGGCGGGGAGGCTGAGGCTTTCCTAGCAGCACTGCAATCTTACAGAAAAGCAATCAAAATTCGCAGAAATTACATGCGTTCTGCAGTGGAAGTCATCCGTCAAAAAATTGAAATTGGAAGGGACAGAGAAGGTTAGCATGGGCTATGGGTTGAGCCTATCCCCTCAGGATTGAACCTAATCTGTGGCAACAACGAGAAGGGACGGCAGAGGAATATCCCCCTAGCAATCAACAACCAGGGGGGAGCAAGCTGACTATCTCAACAACCAGGGGGGGGCAAGCCGACTATCTCAGCTGGTGAACCCACAGCGCGCTGCAGGAGGCCGTGGGAATTCCAATGGAAGGCGTGGGGAATCGAACCCACGAGACCTCCTGAATGCAGCTTTCGTCCTCTACCAACTGAGCTAGGCCACTGCCCTGCGCCTTTGGTTCATGTGTCCGTAGCCCGCTATTGCCCCCAGGGATAGCTTAGATCCTTGCTTGTCGGGTTTGTGGTTAGACCAGTGCATAGATAAGGAAGGTCGCCATACTGGATACGTGAGGAGATAACGTATCAAGGGCAGCTTTTCGAGTACAGAGAAGAGAGTGTCCACAAAAAGCACTGGCTGACAGTTGACGTGTATCAAATAGAGGAGCCGGGCACCACAACGAGCAAGCTCAATAAGGACTCGAGAACTCAGATGATGGTGAGACTGGAGCCGGTCAGGGAGGTGAGGGTCTATAGACGGAAGACTTCACTATCTATAGAGTAGTATAGACCAACAACAGCAGTGGAGGACCTGGAGATACATCTGGTGGCATGGGCCTGTAACTGGAACTGGAAACGAGGGAGGCTGCTGAGCGTGACGCTAAGAACGAACACTCTGCACTACGCAACAACAAAATCTTGTGCTATTGTTTATAGGACTTTCTATGGTCTATAGCTAATGAGAATTTGTCTTTAAAAAAAAAAAAGTCTCAAGAAGAGAAGTTGTCTATGAATGTAATCATGCATTTTGTTAACGCGATCGAACATGTCAAACTGGTATAAGGCTATAAGCGCAGAATGAGATCGTACCCGCTGGAGGACTCATTTTACTAGAGCGCTGGGAAGATCGAATGAATGGGTGTGGTGGCTCCAGCACGGCGTAGCCCTCTGCCATCGTCAGGACTGAGCTCTATCGGACTGGGGCGGGGGGTCAGGAGTGTACATCGGGTAATCATCCATGTAGCAGTACCTGTTAATGAATGGCGGAACAAGCGCAGGAGCCAAGAAAATAGAGGACGCAGAATGAACTGTGTACAGTTTGCCAGGGACCTCTGAAGGAATCGGTAAAGCACTGTCTTTTAGATTTTCATAACGCAGAGCAAATACGGAGGAGGATAGCGAAAGAATTATGGGCCAAACTCACGGACGACGCCGCATTCCCCGAAGACTCGGTTACCCTGCGGCTGGGAACAGGAACGCCAGGTACCTCGTAGGGTTCTGAGTGGAAATTGTTTCGACTTTTGAGGTAGTGTGCCCTGTGGATAATCTGGAAGAGGAGATGTCAGCAAACAATAGACTTTCAATTCAATATGTAAATAGCGGATATAGATTAAAGGTAAATTGTCTGCCTTCCAAGGAGGGGATATGGGTTCGATTCCCGTTATCCGCAATTGCGATTTGATGAAAAAAAAACTGAGATAAATAAAATGAGCGTATCAAAATTTTAAACTTGTCGAAGTTGTCGACAAATCTTGGAAAACGTTGTACATGCTGACTTCTACATTGGAACCAGTGTCGATGATGATGAAAACAGTGTCATTTTCTTGCAATTGATCTCTGAAAATCTTCCCATGAAGTCCATGGAGATGGACAGACCGGGCCTGTCCGGAAGTGGAATTTCGGTGCGCCTTTCTTAGAGTCTATACCATTGACAGATAGTGCAACTCTTCACATAATCTTCCGACATCATTCTTCATCGTTAGCCAATAGAACTGCTCCAATAGTTGTTGCAGATGTGTCTTGCTGCTCAGACCATAATGTTCTTGGGCATTGTGGCATTCGCCCATAATGTCTAGGTAGTAGCTGCTGTTGCTTGTCCATGCAGACACAACTGTTGCAACCCCTTGGTCTCAATAGAGCATTCCTCACTGCAGTGTATAGTTGGGCGCTCGACTAGGGGTCCTCTTCGAGGTGTGCAATGATGCAGTTGTAGACGGGATCTTCTATGTAAGCTGCTGCGATCCTGTCCAGGAGCTCGTCACTTACCTCTGGCAGCTTTATCTTAGAGCTTGGGCTGTGTTTTCTGATGATCAGAGTACAGGGTAGTTTTGCAGACCCAATCGCCGATGCAAACGCTCTGCAATCTCAATATGTTGGGCACATCATGTCCTCTGCGGGGTGACATTGTGCAATCTCGTATGATTTAGCACAAAATGTGAGGCTGTACTCCCATGGAGGACATGATGTGCCAATACAAAAACAGAAGAAGCTGAAGAAGAACAAAAAGAAGAACAAGAAGAATAACAAGAAAAAGAAGAAGACAATGACGACAACGACAGCGATGGCTACGACGGTCAAGAAGAAGAAGAAGAAGACTACGAAGATGAAAACTTCCACGAAGAGGAAGGTGAAGAAGGTGAGGAGGAAGATGAAAAGTAAGAAGAAGAAGAAGAAGAAGAAGAAGAAGAAGAAGAAGAAGAAGAAGAAGAAGAAGAAGAAGTTGATGATGATGATGATGATGATGATGATGATGATATGACAGTGACGAATGACGGCACGAAGAAGAAGAAGAAGAAGAAGAAGATGACAATGGCAAAGAACGGCGAGACAGAAAAGATGAAGAGGAAAACAAAGAAGATGAAAAGGAAGACGAAGAAGATCAAGAAAAAGAAGAAGAAGAAGAAGAAGAAGAAGAAGAAGAAGAAGAAGAAGAAGAAGAAGAAGAAGAAGATGGCGAAAAAGACAAAAAGATAAAAAGGATGAAAAAGATGGAAAAGACGACGAGGAATGAAGAAGGAGAAGAGGAAGACAACGACGAACAAGAAGACGAAGAGAAGACCACTATGATGACATAGAAGAAGAAGAAGAAGAAGAAGAAGAAATCAAGACACAAGAACAGCGGCACACTGTTCACACACAAGAGGGATCAGAAAACGAATTTCCTCAATTCCAAACACCGTTTTTTTCTCTACTATCCTTCCTTGACGCATCTGTACTGGATCCCTTCAGGAGGGTCCTACCAACCACCTTGCAATGGGGTTTGCCATTCCCCATTATTTGCACTTGCATTGCTAACCATGTGACTACGTGTCTATGTTGTTGTCTCGATGTTGGCTCAAGCTTACGTTTCGCGTGCTGTCCCGAGCTTCCCGTACTCTTGATCTTGAAGTGTGTCATCAGTGTTGAGATTCCCCCTCTTCCCTATCCTGTTTTTTTTTGGTACCAGTACTGTTAATACACTACCTTGGTTTCTAGCTCCCAAAATTCCTGGCAGATTGTCAGTTCGACTCCCAGTATTATCACTTGCGCCCTTACTTGCTGCCAGGCGCTGTTCCCCAGTGGCCATATTTCCCACACTATCTGTCGGATTCGCCCTGTTTGCCGCTAATGCTGTGTATCCCACTGATCTCTCTTTGGATTAAACCACCAGCACATGGCCCCAGCACAAGTTGAGAATCCAATTGGGCCTTCCCTAAATTTTCGGAGGTTCGGGACAGGGAATCCGAAGGGCCAGTAGCAAAAATCAATTGTCCCATTAATCTCTCTTTGGATTAAATCATTAAAGTTCATTAAACCACCAGTACATGGCCCCAGCCCAAGTTGAGAATCGACTCCCCTAAATTTTCGGAGGCTTGGGACAGGGAGTCCGAAGGGCCAGTAGCAAAAAGCAATTGTCCCATTAATCTCTCTTTGGATTAAAGTTCATTAAACCACCAGTACATGGCCCCAGCCCAAGTTGAGAATCTAATTGAGCCTCCCCTAAATTTTCGGAGGCTCGGGACACGGAGTCCGAAGGGCCAGTAGCAAAAGGAAGTGTCCCATGCACTGGGGTGGCACTGGGGCCAGCCCTGAACAAAAACAAAATTCTGCACGCCCCAAGGCAGGCCCTGTCCGGAGTCCCCTAACTTTTTGGAGAGGCTCATTCGAAATCTCCATAGGTACTGGTGCTTAAAGGCGCAGTTCTAGATTATGGTCATTCCCGTAACACCAGGTAGATCACGGTTCTGTATGTTTTCCTTCCCGTAAAAAACCGGTACTCCGTTCCATGTTGTGACAGAGAAAGTTTGAATAGTTTCAAAGGATGAAAATTCAAAGGCCTTTTAAGGGCGTGACTCCCTAAGTGGCTGTAATTGCCTCTGAACAGTAATCCCGATTTCGCATTCCATCAGAGTCGTTATCTTGATCAGAAAATTGGCCAGCATTTTCGGAAATTAGTGGGGGGACATACGAAATATCAATGGAGAGGTCTCAAATTATTTATTTTTTTCCAAAATATTCCAAAGGGTGTCTTGTTCGAGTCCCATGACCAGTAAAAACCGGAACTTCCTCAAGTTCATGATCTAGGATGCAAAATGGCTGCCTTGTCTGGTTTCCTCCTCGAACCAATACATGAGCGAGAGGAATTCGGAGATCAAAGATCTCCATTGTCCTCCCATCACCTTGGCAAACCTTGCCAAGGTTAAGAAGAAGAAGAAGAAGAAGAAGAAGAAGAAGAAGAAGAAGAAGAAGAAGAAGAAGAAGAAGAAGACAAAAAAGATGAAAAAAGCAACGAGGGACGGAGAAGGAGAAGAAGAAGACAATGACAAACAAGAAGACCACGTTGACGAAGAAGAGAAGAAGAAGAAGAAGAAGAAGAAGAAGAAGAAGAAGAAGAGGAAAGGAGAAGAAAATGAGGACAACAAAGGAAATGAAAAAGAGGACAAAGAAGAAGGAGAAGAAGAGGACGACAAGACAAACAATAAGGTAACAACGAAGACAAAGAAGACGATGAAAATGAAAACGAAACTGAACAGGAATATGAAAAAGAAAATGAAAAAGAAAAAGAAGATGATAACGAAAATGAAGACAAAGATGAACACGAAGATGAGGAAGAAGACGAAGAAGAAGATGAAGAAGAAGATGAAGAAGACGACGATGAACCAGACCAAGAGGAAGAAGAAGAAGATGATGATGACAACGACAACAACGAAGAAGAAGAAGAAGAAGAAGAAGAAGAAGAAGAAGAAGAAGAAGCTAGTCCCGCATAGCCAAAGGTAAATCTCCATCCCCGTTACGCCCTCCTTCCTCCTCTAGTCCCAGTAATGTTCATAGCTGGGTAGCACGGTGTACACGTACGCGGGCTCCGCATACGTGCATACGCGTATGCACGTATGCGCATACGTGTCGCATACGTATGCGCGCGTACTCAAATTTAGGGCCCGAGTACGTGGTCACAGCGGGCCGTTTCCCGGGTTTGTCTTGGCCCGGTAGGGGTTGGGGGGTGGGCGTTGGGATTGGTTGGTGTGTGTGTGTGTGTGTGTGTGTGTGTGTGTGTGTGTGTGTG